GGTGGAGGGGGGTGGGGAGGGGGTGTGTGTGTGTGTGGGTCCCCAAGCCCAAGCCCACTAAGGTAAACCCCAAACCCCTCCAAGGACAGCACAGCTCCCAGCCTGCACCCCCAGCTGGTTGTCCTATCCCCTCCCCCCCCCAGCCCGGCCCATCATCCCACCAGGGTGGGACCGCATCTTTCTGCTGCAGATGCCATGGGCTCCCGGCACTTCCCTGCCCGGACCGTGCTCTTTGAGAAGGAGTCCAATGGTGTCACATACCGCGTGCCCGCCCTGCTCTACCTGCCCTGCGCGGCCAAGCTGCTGGCGTTCGCGGAGGAGCGGCTGAGCGCCGACGATGCCCACGGCAACCTGCTGGTGCTGCGCCGGGGCACTGTCCATGGGGGCCGCGGGGTTTTTTTGGGGGTGCACCCGGGGCTGGGGGGGAGTGACACGGGACAGCCAGGTGGTTTTCCTCCACCACTTGTGCATGGCCAAGCTCCTGGAGCCACCTGCATGGGGAAGGGGGTGCTGCGCCCAGTGAAGTGGGGTGGTCCTCACCCCTCTCCATCCTCCGTCCTCCCTCCTCCTCCTCCCTGGTCAGTGGGAAGACATGCGTGTGCTGGAGACAGCGACGCTGCAACACCACCGGTCGATGAACCCCTGCCCACTCTATGACGAGTTCACCGGCACTCTCTTCCTTTTCTTCATCACGGTGCTGGGCAGGACACCCGAAGCCTACCAGATCGTCACCGGCCAAAACGTCACCCGCCTCTGCTGCGTCACCAGCGCCGACCAGGGCCTGAGCTGGAGCATGGCCATGGATCTGACGCAGCAGGTCATTGGTGGGGCCATCAAAGGTAGCCCACTGGAGAGGGGTGAGGAGGGGGGAAGATAGCTGGCAGGAGGGCGGCCATGGGTTTTGGCCTCCTGGGGCCACCTACAGTGCTGCCAGAGGTAGCCTTGGGGAGCAGGAAGCCCACAAGCATCCAAGAGCAGAGGACCCCAAGCAGAGGATTAAGGGGATAAGAGGGAGTATCCACATTGCTTGCATGGGGGGAGAGGAAACAGAGTCCCCGTAGCTGTGGGTGGGACCATGCATGAGGACAACCAGGCAGCACTGGGCTCTGCTGCCCTCCCACCCCGCCACCTTACTTGGTTAGGCTGAGGGAATGCTCTTGAGATGACCCTTCCATGTTGGGCATCACAAGGGCACCGTGGAGGCCACCCTTCATCCACCTCCCCTGTCCCTCCTCTGCTCCCCAGACTGGGCGACGTTTGCGCTGGGCCCTGGGCACGGGATCCAGCTGCGGTCCGGCCGGCTGCTGGTGCCCGCCTACAGCTATCACATTGACTGCAAGGAGTGCTTCGGGCAGCTCTGCAAGACCACCCCTCACTCCTTCGCCTTCTACAGCGATGACCATGGCCGGGGCTGGCGCTTTGGGGAGTTCATCCCCAACCTGCAGACGGGCGAGTGCCAGCTGGTCTCAGTGGACGAGGAGGATGGCTCTAACGTCCTCTACTGCAACGCTCGCAGCCCTTTGGGCTTCAGGGTCCAGGCGCTGAGCACGGATGACGGGGCCGTCTTCCATGGGGGGCAGCTGGTCCAGCGGCTAGTCGAGCCCCCCCATGG